AACTATCTTTTGCTCTATCATCACATTAAAAATTTTTTTTCCTGTTAGCATTTTACAAGGCAATTTTTTAAAATACAAGGATAATTCATCATCAGTACACTATGTGTTGTGAATTTTTTCCTAAGTAGTGATGAATTTGATATTTCATACATGATCTTTGGTGTAAGATTTTGTTAAGATGGCTAATTGGTGGAGGTGGTGGTAGTGGTGGGGGAATAGGGTGGTTAATGAAGAGATTAGAGGCACTGTCCATGGCTAAATCCCTTGACAAAACTTTTCTCCAATTAAATATTTCCTCTAGAGAAAGGCAGAGAGTTAGTGTAAAATCTGATCTGACAAAGTAAGCTGATTTGGAGGGGATTTTCTTAATTTTAGATGATGTCTAACTAGAACCACTTTTTTAGAATGATGTTTATTAATATTAACAGATGGGGGAAAAATGGGAAATTATCCAAGTCTATTATAAAATAAAAACAAAGCAACTTCTTGCAAAGCGGCCTTTTCCTCAGAGATGATTTTCAGTTTGGCCCCTCCTCTGAGGAATCTTCAGTAACTGACTACCTTTAGGACAGATTATATACACCTCTGCCTGGCATTTAAAGCCCGTGACAATAAACTGATAAACTTCAACCTGCCTTTTGAGGCTGATTATACATTACTCCCTCTCATGCTCTCCAAACTTGCCTTCTTGCTATATGCTATAGATGGTTTTCTATCTCTGGGCCTTTTAGCAGGCTGTCCCCCATCCCTGGAATGCTTCCCCTCTTCATCTCTGCCTTTTAGAAACCTCAGCTCCAGAAACACATCCTTCAAGATCTTTCCTGATTCTCCCAGTCATTTATGACATTCTGCTTCCCCCGCATTATTGTGTATTTATTTTGCATATATTCTGTGTTTACTGATCCGTAAATATGCTATATCTCATAAGCTCGGGCACTGGTACTATCTTAATTTTGAATGACTGATATAAAGCCATGGAAATACACCATGTTGTAGTTTCTTGAAACAGTCATTTCCCTGTGAAAGAGTCTCACCTATGTTCAAAACCTTTTCCCTCATGGTAGAAGTTACTGGAGCTTCCATGTCCTTGGCATAGCCTTCAAGGCCCCAGGACCCACACAGTCTTATGATACATCAATATAGGACTTTTGCGGGGCTGAGATGGATAATCACAGTGCTGCACTGGTACACATGAAATGTTAAAGAGCTGAAAAGAAGGCTCCCATGGAGTAGTTATGGGAGAATATGCCCAAGAAGTGCAGCTAGGTATGCCATACTGCATAGGGCACTGGGGTGGGAACCAGGAAAAGTCATCTTCCTGAGTTCAAATCTGGCCAAAGACACTTCCTAGTTGTGTGATCCTGGCAAGTCACTTATCCCTGTTTGCTCAGTTTCTTCATCTGTAAAATAGGCACACATTAGAGAAGGAAATGACTCCAGTATCTTTGCCAAGAAAATCCCAAATGGGGTCATGAAGAGTCAGATATGACTGAAACGACTGAGTGACACCACCCAAGAAGGTAGGGGTAAACTGTGTTCTATACCAGCTTAGCCAACATCCATGTGGATGAGATTAAGGACTCACTGAAATACTAATCAGTTAAAATAGTCAATGCCTAGCTGGGAGTAGAAGAGAGTAACCAGCCCCTGCTGTACAACCCATTTATTACTGATATTCTTTTTTCCCTTTAAAAAAATTATAAACTTAAGAACAACAAATGTGAACATTTCTATAAGCAAATAGAATAAGAAATAGCACTGTAGGTGAAACTTGCCTTTCTGTTTTATAATTTACTTTTTTCTTTTGGTGAGGCAATTGGGTTAAGTGACTTGCCCAGGTTCACATCTAGTGTCAAGTGTCTGAAGGTGGATTTAAACTCAGATCCTCCTGACTCCAGGGGTGGTGCTTTATCCACTGTGCATACTTTACTTTTCAAAAAAAGGATATATTGAGGCAGCTAAGGTGGCGCAGTGGATAGACACCGGCCCTGGAGTCAGGAGGACCTGAGTTCAAATGCGGCCTCAGACACATAACACTTATTAGCTGTGTGACCCTGGGCAGGTCACTTAACCCCATTGCCTAGCCAAAGAAAAAAAAAAGGAAAAAGAATTAAAAAAAAAGAAGTGACGATATAAGAAAGAGCTTCAGTGAGAGTTGGTGTGGAATTAGTGAGTAGTGATTGAAAATAGAGAAGAAAAAAGAGGAAAAGTCAATGAATATTTTTTCAAAAAATATATGACGAGCAAAAGGAAGTTGATAAGGGGACATAGACAAGAAAGGCAGTTTTGTTATTTTGTTAAGCCCAGTATATCCTTTTTTTTTTTTTTGGTTAGGCAATGGGGTTAAGTGACTTGCCTAAGGTCACACAGCTAGTAAGTGTTATTATGTGTCTGAGGCCGGATTTGAACTCAGGTCCTCCTGAATCCAGGGCCAGTGTTCTATCCACTGCGCCACCTAGCTGCCCTCAATATATCCTTTTTTTGAAAAGTAAAGTATGCACAGTGGATAAAGCACCACCCCTGGAGTCAGGAGGATCTGAGTTTAAATCCACCTTCAGACACTTGACACTAGATGTGAACCTGGGCAAGTCACTTAACCCCAATTGCCTCACCAAAAGAAAAAAGTAAATTATAAAACAGAAAGGCAAGTTTCACCTACAGTGCTATTTCTTATTCTTATTTGCTTATAGAAATGTTCACATTTGTTGTTCTTAAGTTTATAATTTTTTTAAAGGGAAAAAAGAATATCAGTAATAAATGGGTTGTACAGCAGGGGCTGGTTACTCTCTTCTACTCCCAGCTAGGCATTGACTATTTTAACTGATTAGTATTTCAGTGAGTCCTTAATCTCATCCACATGGATGTTGGCTAAGCTGGTATAGAACACAGTTTACCCTACCTTCTTGGGTGGTGTCACTCAGTCGTTTCAGTCATATCTGACTCTTCATGACCCCATTTGGGATTTTCTTGGCAAAGATACTGGAGTCATTTCCTTCTCTAATGTGTGCCTATTTTACAGATGAAGAAACTGAGGCAAACAGGGATAAGTGACTTGCCCAGGATCACACAACTAGGAAGTGTCTTTGGCCAGATTTGAACTCAGGAAGATGACTTTTCCTGGTTCCCACCCCAGTGCCCTATGCAGTATGGCATCACCTAGCTGCACTTCTTGGGCATATTCTCCCATAACTACTCCATGGGAGCCTTCTTTTCAGCTCTTTAACATTTCATGTGTACCAGTGCAGCACTGTGATTATCCATCTCAGCCCCGCAAAAGTCCTATATTGATGTATCATAAGACTGTGTGGGTCCTGGGGCCTTGAAGGCTATGCCAAGGACATGGAAGCTCCAGTAACTTCTACCATGAGGGAAAAGGTTTTTGAACATAGGTGAGACTCTTTCACAGGGAAATGACTGTTTCAAGAAACTACAACATGGTGTATTTCCATGGCTTTATATCAGTCATTCAAAATTAAGATAGTACCAGTGCCCGAGCTTATGAGATATAGCATATTTACGGATCAGTAAACACAGAATATATGCAAAATAAATACACAATAATGCGGGGGGAAGCAGAATGTCATAAATGACTGGGAGAATCAGGAAAGATCTTGAAGGATGTGTTTCTGGAGCTGAGGTTTCTAAAAGGCAGAGATGAAGAGGGGAAGCATTCCAGGGATGGGGGACAGCCTGCTAAAAGGCCCAGAGATAGAAAACCATCTATAGCATATAGCAAGAAGGCAAGTTTGGAGAGCATGAGAGGGAGTAATGTATAATCAGCCTCAAAAGGCAGGTTGAAGTTTATCAGTTTATTGTCACGGGCTTTAAATGCCAGGCAGAGGTGTATATAATCTGTCCTAAAGGTAGTCAGTTACTGAAGATTCCTCAGAGGAGGGGCCAAACTGAAAATCATCTCTGAGGAAAAGGCCGCTTTGCAAGAAGTTGCTTTGTTTTTATTTTATAATAGACTTGGATAATTTCCCATTTTTCCCCCATCTGTTAATATTAATAAACATCATTCTAAAAAAGTGGTTCTAGTTAGACATCATCTAAAATTAAGAAAATCCCCTCCAAATCAGCTTACTTTGTCAGATCAGATTTTACACTAACTCTCTGCCTTTCTCTAGAGGAAATATTTAATTGGAGAAAAGTTTTGTCAAGGGATTTAGCCATGGACAGTGCCTCTAATCTCTTCATTAACCACCCTATTCCCCCACCACTACCACCACCTCCACCAATTAGCCATCTTAACAAAATCTTACACCAAAGATCATGTATGAAATATCAAATTCATCACTACTTAGGAAAAAATTCACAACACATAGTGTACTGATGATGAATTATCCTTGTATTTTAAAAAATTGCCTTGTAAAATGCTAACAGGAAAAAAAATTTTTAATGTGATGATAGAGCAAAAGATAGTTACATATTACTAGATAATATATATTCCCAAAAGGGCAGCTAGGTGGTGCAGTGAATAGATTGCCTAGCCTGGAGTCTGGAAGACATATCTTCCTGAATTAAAATCTGCCCTCTGGCTACTAGCTGAGTGACCCTGGGCGGGTCACTTAACTCTGTTTGATTCAGTTTCCTCATCTGGAAAATGAGCTGGAGAAGGAAATGGCAAATCATTCCAGGATCTTTACCCAGAAAACTCCACACACAGGCTCAGACATGACTGAAAAATTTCAGAACAACAAAACAGTTCCCAAAGGCAGGGAATCTCTCTTCCATGTATCCTCAGACACAACTTACCCTGACCACAGTCAGTACTCAGTAAATGTTTGCAGGAAAATTAGAAGACTTTTAAAACTAAAGGTTTTATATTTCATTTTTTACTTAATATAATTATATGGCTGGGGGGAAGTGATGTCATGCAATTGCTTTTGTTATAACCTTGGTAGAAAAAAATTTTTCAATTCTAATTTCCACCTTATTTTGGAAAGTTTATGAGTTGAGTAAAAGAAAGTTCTTATATCCAATTTTATGATCATATTTTTAGGAACATGAAAGAATTTCAAAAATTCTTCAAGAATTCAGGAAGAAAAAGAATGTAAGTATATCTAAATTTTAACTACTCTAATTTCACTGCTGCTGAATAGCCAAGTACCCTGGCTTTCAGGGCAACAACTATATGGTAGCATAATTACTTGCATGTGATTTAAAACCAGATTATTTAGGGGAAGCAGGTAGTGTATATTCTTAATACCTCTCTTTCCTAGCCAAATTCTAGCATATCCTGGTTGACTAACTAAAGTTTTGATGGCCACTTCCCAAATTTTTTATCCGTTCTTCCTTCTTCTGAGAAGGAAAGTCCTGCAGTTCCAAAGGACTCATGATGGAAAATGCTGTCCACCTCCAGAGAGAGAACAGATGAACAGATGAACTCTGAGTACAGATTAAAGCATGATGTCATTCACTTTCCTTCTTTTTCTTGATTTTTTTTAACAGCATGGCTTATATAGAAATATGTTTTGCATGACTTCTTATCTCTAATTGATATCATGTTGCTTGCTTTCCCAGTGGGTGGGGAAGGACCACAAGGAGGAGGAGAATATGGAACCAAAATTTTAAAAAATGAATGAGGGTCCTGGTGCTCTAGATCATTCTTCTTCCATCCCTACTTAATCTCATAGTACAGTAGAGAGAAGTTTTATCAACTCTTTTATGTTTCATCATGTTTCTGATGCATGAGTAGAATAATAGCTTGTAAGCATCCAGTGCTTTACAGTTTACAGAGAGCTCACTTTACAACCATATCTCTATTTTATTGATGAAGAAACTAAGAATCAGAGGAGTTAATAACTTGTTCAGGTTCATAAACTGGTAAATAGCAAAATCTGCACTTGGATACTACAGGTCTCCTGATTCTTTATCCACTATTCTTTGCATTCCACTGCACTCTCTTCATAAAAGGGAAGTACCTCAAAAATTATTGATTAATTGTAAATAGTCTTTGATGGACATTGGGATGCATTTCTAGGAAGTCTATTCTAAAAGGTGTTTTTTTCAGACATATCATTGTATGATTATATTTGCTTTTGTCTTTCCTTGTCTCAAAGAAGCCAAAAAGAAGGTTTCTTTAATCATGAAATATGTGATGTCTTTCTTACAGGATCCTACATTTTTGGAAAAAAAGGAACGTTGTGAATACCTGAAGAATAAGCTTTCTCACATAAAACAAAGAATTCAGGAATATGATAAAGTTATGAATTGGAATATACAAGGTTTTTCCTAAACCTCGTCGGAAAACTATTTTTGTATGGAAATTTGTTTAATATTTATTTACTGCCATATCTTTACCAATTTCGTGATACATCTAAAATTGGTTGCTATCGGGAACTAGCTTTTGGCCATTTTAATCTGTTTGTATGAGTGCTAAAAGGTTTGTTTTCATTCAGATACCTCTAATTTTGAATTCAGTATGTGCCTTTATTTAGAATGAATTCATTTCTGAAGAAATTATGCCTATTTCTCTTTAGAAAGTGCCCTCAGGAAAAGTGATATAGGAGTAATGTCTCTTAATAGGGGAAACCACTAGGATATTCTTAGTAGTATTTGCATTGTCACACTGCTGTCCCTTGGGTTTTCCATTCCCTAAAAAGATGAATTTCTTTTCCTGACCAAAGTTGTCATCTGCTTCCATGAATGGAAAGAAATACAAGGCATCCTTGTTACAGAGTTCCTTAATCAGCAAGCCTAAATAGCCACCAGAAAGCTCTCATGCTGTGAATTCCCATTTTATGCTCCTAGGCCTTAACTTTCAAGAATAAGAAAATATGAAATACTGAGTGGAGACAAAAACAGCCTTTAACCTTCTCTGGGGTGATGCCAACAAAGGGCCCCCACCCTGTGGTCACTGGGGCCATGCAGAGGCTCCCTCACATCTGTCCTTCAGGTAGCTAGGTCGTCCCTTTCTAGCCTGACTTCACATAAGTCCCCTGCATGCACTGCAGCCAGACTGGATTAGCTGTTCTCCACACTCAGCTGGGCATTTTGAAAATCTGTACTTTCCCCCAAGATATTCCCCCAAACCTGGAATGTGCTTCCTCCTCATTCCTGTCCTGAGAGTCCTCACGTTTCATGGCTACTTTGGGACACCAGGCCTTTTACTCTCAGGCTCAAAGGGTTCTCTCCTTCCTCTGATAACTCCAGAGTACTTTTTCTGACCCTCTCTTTTGCCCCTATCATGTCCTACCTTTTCTTTATATGTGTACATGTTGTGTTATATTTGTCTGTGTACATGTCACCTTCTCCCCATCTCTTCACCCTATTAGATAACAATCTGATGAGCAGGGTCTCTGTCTTTGCATTCCCCCTGCCTAGGACAGTGCCTTGCCCAGAGTGGGTGCTTCATAGATGTTAAAAATCATTGAAGAGGAAGAATGGGTGGCACCTGGTCTTCACAATTCAGACTGACTTCTATCCCTAGTGGCCCCATGGGCATCGTATAGTAAGAGAGATTTGGGTGTGAATATTTTACCCTTCCCTTCCTATACCTCCAAGTAGTCTGTGATATTCCAAGGTCCATATTTTCACCTTAATCTGAGATCTTCCAAGTAGTAAAGATTCTTCTGATTCCTTTCAGACATATGTGTGTGTGTACATCAGAATGAAATAACTTGGAACAAGTGAAATGAATGCTTCATTCATGAGAACCTTAACGTTATTAGCAAAGGCACAAAAATGAATTGTGGGAGCTTTTGTAGTGTTAAAATTATTATTTGACCATTATCGAGCAACAACTCTTGAGTCCAGCGTGACCCTTCCTTTCCCGTGCACTTGGCCACCAGTGAGTAGCCTCTTACACAGAATAGGCACAATACAAGTCAAATTGAATTTTTTATAAAGTTAGTTTATCACTTAAGCTTGTATGTTCAAGATTACTGCCGGGAGAAAAAAAGCACATATAATAAGTGTGTTAGTTGCCCTGAAGAGTTTCCTTTTTCATTATTAACAAAGTAATCATTAGTGTTTATTTGTCGATATTCTGTTGAAATGTAAACTGTTAGATAATAAAATCAAGGACTAGAAATATTAACTTGATAAAAAATTTGTATTACAGTTGTAAATATTAACCTGTGAATGTCTTTTAATTTTGTAACTGTTTTTTACATATCCATACCTCAGGGTATTAAAAATGTTATCTGTTACCTTATGTGTACCTTTTCATTGTTTATCTAGAACTTTTTTCTTTACTGGGTGCTCTGCTACTTGGAAAACTAAGTAAATCAGAAAAAGAACTGGAGGAGGAATCTGAGTTTGTAGGAGCTCCTTTGATGTCGTCACTAGTTTTATTTTTGCCTTCCCCATCCTGTGAAGCTGCTGGTCAGAACCACCTTCTTCCTATTAATAGAGTTCCTCAGTAAAGAGCATCCCACTTCCACCTTGCCTGGTTCTTTTTCCCCCCCTAAGTTTTCAGTTTTAGGACTTATAAATTAAAATACATGCTGGCATATCAATAGTACTGCCTCCACAAAGTCTGAGGGATCAGTATATAACTATTGGGTGCATATCAACAGCAGCAATTTATAGAGTCGACAATTTCACTTTGATAATAATGGAAGGAAGGAAAGAAACAAGCATTTATTAAGCACCTACTCTGTGCCACACACTGGGCTTAGCACTTTACAAATATCATCTTATTTGGTACAAACCTGAGAGGTAGGTGCTGTTATTATTCCCTTTTTACAGTTAGGGAAACTTAATAGCGTTCGTGTAGCACGTTAAGGTTTGCAAAGTGTTTTACAAATATCTCATTTTATCCTCACAATTCTGGAAGGTAGGTGCTATTGGCCCCATTTTAGAAATAAGGAAACTGAGGCAGACAAAAATCAAATAACGTGCTTAAGGTCCGACAGCCAGTAAGTATGTGAGGCCAGATTTTTAACTTGGGTATTCTTAGCTCTAGATTCAGCACTCTTATCCATAGCACCACTTAACTGCCTCTTAATTTGACTGAATTGCACTGAATTTCATCAAAAGATGAAAAACTTAAGGATCAGCTCCTGAGGATTTTATTACTTGATTTGTGTAAGTACTTTTTAATGGCTCATAATCTTTTTAGACCCTGGGGTCAGGAAGACCTGAGTTCAAATGTGGCCTTGGACACTAGCTGTGTGACCCTGAGCAAGTCACTTAACCCTGTTTGCTTCAGTTTCCTCTTCTATCAAATGAGCTGGAGAAGAAAATGGCAAACTGCTCCAGTATCTTTGCCAAGAAAACCTCAAATGGAGTCACAAAGAGTTGGACACGACTGAATAAATATTTTTAGATCATCTGCTTTATTAGGTAAAAGGAAATCAAAGGTATCAGATATGCACCAAATGAGGTGACTGTAACTGTCTTAAATGGAACAGGACAACAGTTTAGCAAGTCCATCCAAATGATTATGTATAATTACGAGTAATCTACATTTCAACAGGCACCATATAATACTTGCACTTTCAATGGTGGAAGTGTGTATGGCATTTAAAGGTGGTTGAGAGATCAGCTAAGATGTTAATTAAACATTGCAGTGTTCTGGGATCAGTCCACTAGACTAGGGCTTGGTTATTGATTTTTCCATTAGCTCATCTTCATGTAGTTTGTATTTTTTTAACTCGTAATTGGCTTTTAAGTACTTTTTTTCTGGAACTTGATAATAATCAGTGTCATTGTAGCTCACTTGTCTAATAGAGCTTTAAGATGTTTACAAGCACTTTCCTTATAACCTGTTGCAGTGGATAATGCAGATGTTAACTGAGAAGCTGAGGCTCAAGGTGTTTTGATCACAAAGAGATTGAATGGGGGCAGCTAGGTGACACAGTGGATACAGCATCAGCCCTGGAGTCAAGAGGACCTGAGCTCAAATCTGACTTCAGACATTACTAGCTGTGTGACCTTGGGCAAGTCACTTAACCCCAACTGCCTCCCAACAATAAAAATAAAAAATACATTTTTAAAAAAGAGAGAATGGATGTCAATGCTAGGACTCTTCTAAGTGCAGTGATTTTTTTTCTTGTATACCACACTAGTTGCCAGTAATCTTTACCATTAATGGCAATTTCATTTATAATCTTAAATGAATACATAATCATTTATTTATAATGGATGGATAGTGACTTAAATAGTCCTGTAGATACTAAGGTTATTTGTATAGTACTAAGCCCATAGTAGGGGCAGCTAGGTGGATATGGAACCTCAGGGAAGCTTAAAATTCTTGGTCCTGAGCGGCAGCTAGGTGGTGCACTAGATAGAGCACTGGCCCTGGAGTCAGGAGAACCTGAATTCAAAGCCAGCCCCTGACACTAGCTATGTGACCTTGGACAAGTCATTTAATCTTTGCCTCTGTTTCCTCATGTCTAAAATGGGAATAATAGCTACTCCAAGGTCATTGTAAAAGTCAAATAAGATGTATAAAGAGATTTGCAGACCTTAAAGTGCTTATAAATGATAGCTATCAATAATAATTATTATTATAATAGCTAACATTTATACATGGGCCAGGCACTGTGCTATGCTCTTTATATTATCTCATTTGATCCTCACTACCCAAGGAGGCAGGTGGTATCTCCATTTTACCGATGAGCAAACTCAGGCAAACCTTGAACTTGCTCAAGGTGACATAGCTAGTATCTGAGACTGGATTTGAACTCTGGTCTTCCTGACTTCAGGCCCAGAGTTCTATCCACTGAGCCACCTAGACAGAGCTTTTTTTTTTCTTTCTGCAATATAACTTTTTGGGGGCTTTGAAGAGGAATACAACTGTAATTTTTGGGTTTGGGAATTCCTGGTGTGGAAACTCCCTGTGCTAATACAAAGCAGTACACTAACAGCACACTTTTTATATACCAACTCAATTTTTAAATTATTAGAGATCTGGTAGGCACAGCCGGTTACATAAACCGGTAATTTACTCCATTTGAATCTATTGCCTTGTGTTTAGCACAGTACCTGGCACGTAGTAGGCATGGTAGTCAGCCAGGGGCTGTAGACATGTGAGCTGGGGAAGAATATATTATTAGGAAAAGAATGCACAGGCTCCAGCCCCCTACCCTTTACCTGAAGCAGGAGAAAATGTGTTCTTAGTGTCCCAAAATGGAGATGGAAATTTTTTTCTCATAGAAATGATGTTGCAAATAATGGTTACTTTGCAATGTTATTAGTACAATAGTTCAACTATGCTGTGATAAAGAGACATTTGTGGACTTTCTAGATACCTAACCACCATGGATAAGATTATTTCCATGGGAAAATGTGTTACAAATTCCAGACAACTAATTTACAAACTAACTTTTGGGGTACAATCCAATCATAAGGTGGTAACTACCCGTATTGTCTTGGAATCTTACTATCATGATTCTAGCTAAGAAAACATAACACACTTACTATTACAATTCTCCATATTTATTGGAGAATAATAATAATGCTCCTTAAAATTCAAACATTCCAGAAGACTGGGTGAAAAAGTGATACAGGTATATAGCCTACCTCGTTTCCTTTTTAAAATTTTATTTTTGAAGTCTTTTTTTTTTTTAGGATTACATTCATTTCTGAACATAGCCTTCTCCCTTTGTTTCCTGAGTGAACTTGCCCTTGTTACAAACATTTTTTTAATGGGGGCAGGGCCCAGGAAGCACTTTAAGAAAACAACACATTATGGCTTGCTGTATATGCAATATTCCACACCTATGGGCCTCCAACCATGAAGGGGATGAGGGTGGGGGTGTCCTTTTTACAATTCTTTGTAGGGCCAATCTTGGACATTATAATTATATCTTACATCTAGTCTGATAAACACTGTAAGAAAGACAGCAGTGGGGCAGCTAGGTGGCACAGTGGATAGAGCTCCAGCGTTGGAGTCAGGAGGACCTGAGTTCAAATGTGACCTCAGACACAAACACTAGCTGTGTGACCCTGGGTAAGTCACTTAACCCAATTGCCTAGCCAAAAAAAGAAAAAGAAAAAAGAAAAGATAGCAGTGTACTGAATAAGGTGCTGTACTTGGATACAAGCAGAACCGAGTTCTAATCCTGTCTCTGACATTGTCACCACTGGTAAGTCAATTTCTGATACTCATAAGTTATTTATTGATGACTTTTCCCTCTTCATTATTTCATTCACATTTATAAAACAGTCCACAAATAAATGGATTTTCAAAGTCTTACACAAAGCATTTGTCTTGTATAAATATCTTAAGCCACATCTTGTTCCTTATGGAGGTAAGAATTTCCATTGCTTGCACGTATAATGCTAAAAAATTTATCTTTTTAACATCAATAGTTCCCCAATGATGCAGCATAAATGGTAATTGTGCAATACTACAGTCACATGAATCAAAATCACTAATGACCCAAAAGGCAATGGAAAGACCGTGAGTTGGCTGGAACAATTTGCCAGTGTTGACTGGCACTGAGCAGTGGTATTCCACTGACCTGGCTAGGAACTTGAGGGCAAAGACTTTCTCACGCTTGACTTGGCATCCTTGGCACTTAGCACAGGATCCAGCACCTAGAAACCACTTGATAAATACTTGTTGAATTGAATGAGAGTGAGAGAGAGAGAGAGAGAGAGAGAGAGAGAGAGAGAGAGAATGAGAGTGTGTGTGTGTGTGTGTGTGTGTGTGTGTGTGTGTGTGTAGTGGGCAGACCAAGAGTGAGGAATGATAGATGGCTATACCAATTGGTATACTGATATCCATGAAATATGAAAAGACCTAGAAAAAGTCTCTAAAGATCCCTTAGGAAAAATTTGAGGGTTTTTCCCTTTTTTTAAATTTATTTTTCATTTTCAACACTCACTTTTAAAGGATTTCGAGTTCTAAATTTTTTCCCTTAGGGACGATTTGTTGAAAGATGTGGTCAAAACCTGCATAGAATGAGAAAGCCTAGAAAGCTTGTGTTCTATAGGAAACTGGGAAGTACCACAGGGATGGGAGAGAGGATAACAAATGAGACCACCTAAGTACTGACAAAAGAAAATATGCATTGGTCAGTGATACATGAAAAGCCACAGTCCTTCCCACCCAGCAGCATAACCTGGAATTTCTGCACCAGGAGTAAATTCAGTGTGATGTAAGGGGAAGTAAGAGACCTCAAGGTCATTCGTAGGGAGGAATCCACCATTAGTACAGATCCCTGGCATCCTTCCAGATCCAGAGAATGAGGCACTCTCTTT